TGCTATCCGAACCGCAAATCCGCCCCCCCCCCCCCCCCCACAGAGTTAAGATCTTGCATATGCAATCTAGAATTCTCTCACCCAAGTTCAATCCTAGATTCGTAGATAGTATTCAATTGGTGATCAAGCAATCAAATAACTAAGCACGAGATTGAATAAATAAACCAATATGATAAAATAATAAGAATAATTTAATCTTCAAACTACAACGTTCATGTAGCACCCCACAACTATAGAACTAATAAATTATGAGATTAAAGGAAGAGAAGAGAAGAAAAACTAGTTAGAAGCCTCCTCCAAGCGTGGTGTGTGTTCCTCCACGCGAATTCTCCTTCAAAGTATGTTAGGTCCCCTCCAAATTAGGTTTAGGACCCATTTTTATACTAGTTGGAGGGGGGGTCTTGGGCCGAAATAACCTTGTCCCGGTCGAAGTTGGACAAAATCACGTCACCAGCGCGCAGCCTAGCGCCAAGCGCTGTCCCTGGTGCTGTTAATTGAAGCACACTGTTTCTGGCACTACAGGTAGCGATGGAAATTCCATTTTTTGTTTTTTCGTCCGTTTCGGCTCTAATCTCGTACCTTTCGTCCCCAATTGCTCCCGGATCATTTATACACATAAAAACACTTCAAATTAATATAAATCAACAAAGTTTACATCCTAAATCCACGAAATAAAAGTAAAACATGAGGTGGTTTACATATAAATATATATACTTTAAGCTAAATATCAACACCCCACACTTAAACTATTGCTCGTCCTCGAGCAATGGGACTATCAACTTCAATTTAATTTTTTCCAACATACACTCTATCAATGACAATGGTTGATAGCAACAATTAAACTGTAGCATATGCAATCACTTGCACTTCCCTCTACTTATGTCATTCTTTACATATTCACAACAAAGACAACATGCTCATAACAATCCTAGCCTTAAAAGCCGACTCAATATCACAATGCACCCATGGCTTGAACACCCAACATGAGAAGTCTAATAATGTTACCTATCGTTCGCGAAACCATGTGCGCTCACAACAAGAACAAGAGAGTAAGTTGAATCCATATATTCGAATCTCATGATCAAATATAATTTAAGAACTCATATATATCAAAGAAATCTCTCACTTTCACAAAGAAGTCACATGCATGCAAAAGGTACTATAGGCTTGCCCATAATGTAAATCCCCACTAATGTAGGCTCACTCGATCTAAAATCAATTAGGACTTTATATGGTTGTAATGTGGGCTAAGGGACGGGTAGGATATATTTAGGATTAGTGGTTCACCCTCCTAAGCATTTTAACACATCACATAATAAACTTTAAGTGCAAATTCTTCAATCAAATTCAATTTCACAAACATGATCACTCCCCAAAATTATTCCCTCTTTCTTTAAGCACTAGTATAATTTGTACCCCACTAGCAAGAACATGACAACAATTTATTCCTTTCAATTTTTCCTTCTCTCTTTTTTTTCGACTTTTTCTTTCTTTTTCTTTTTTTTTTCTTTCAACTAGGCTTTTTTCTTTTTTCAATTTCCGCTAGTGGTGTATTCTTTTACAAAATAAGTGCACCTTTCTTCTTCCATTGGTTCCCCTCAAATGCCACCCACACTTAGTCCTTACTTCTTCGAGCGCTCATTTTACAATTAAAGTGCTTTCAGAGGTAACATGATCAAAGTAATGTCAATTGAGAATTAAGGGGTATAGACTCGTAATGTGAGTGCCAAATAAAAGGTCTACATGCTAAAAAAGGTTCACTACGAATAGTGTTTATTTTGTGATAAGCATTAACCTTAAAAAGATCAAAGAAAGCCTAAAATCATTTTCCAAACCGACATCACCTAAAATTTCGCTTCAACTCACATACCGGGCAAGTTCTAGACTCAATCACAATAACATGGACTACACAAACCTCACTTCACACATGGCACATGACTCACTAAGGACGATCTCATTCCGACTCTCAAACAATGCAAGTATTCACGGAGCCACAAAATATTACGCATTAAGCACAAAGTGAATATAAGTCAAGCAAAAGAGACATAGGCGTCACAAAACATGCTATCCAATTTCATTAAGGCATCATGAACAATTTCAAAACATTGGGAAGAAACTCTACATGCAAAGCTTAAATATGCTACTAACAAACAAGTCAAAGGAGCCTAAGTTCATCAATCTTCCTCCTTTTATTTCCTAAAGTCCTAATCTATTCTAAAAAAAAAAGACTAGCCGGTTCAAACTGAATCCCATGGAAAAGAACCGATGCACAAAGAAAAACCACGCGGGATTATTGCTACCTAAAAAAAATAAAAGACATTGTTGAATTTTTTTCTATTTCTTTTTATCCCTTTTTTCATTTTTTTAGTGGACCTTAATCCCTCAAGAAAGCTCTCCACAAAATCCGCGTCGGGAAAAGTCCAAATTTCTTGATTTTTTTTCTTTTTTATTTTTAACAAAAACTACTACACTAAAAATGAATACTACAACTAAGCTAAGATAGCACAGAAAATCACCCAGACAATCTCCTCACCCCACACTTAAAATTGTGCAATGTCCTCAATGCACACTGAAAATAACAATAGGGTAAAAGAGATTCCTTGGTAGGCCAAAGGCCAAAGCGTTAGCAGCTCACTGGATACTCATACTTCTCCCAGGTATGATCCCTTGTGCGGGTACCTCACACTTAGTTTCAGTCACCTGCTCGCTTTCGCACATGCCTATTGGCTTTGACTCCATCCTCCTACTCCTACAAAGTTAAGATCTTACTCTACTCAATCTTATATGCAATCTAGAATTCCCTCTCCCGAGTTCAATCCTAGATTCGTAGATAGTATTCAATTGGTGAACAAGCAATCAAATAATTAAGCGCAAGATTGAATAAATAAACCAATATGATAAAATAATAAGAGCAATTTAAGTTTCAAACTACAACGTTCATGTAGCACCCCACAACTCTAGAACTAATAAACTATGAGATTAAAGGAAGAGAAGAGAAGAAAAACTAGTTAGAAGCCTCCTCCTAGCGTGGTGTGTGTTCCTCCACGTGAATTCTCCTTTAAAGTATGTTAGGTCCCCTCCAAATTAGGTTTAGGACCCCTTTTTATACTAGTTGGGGGGGGGGGGGGGAGGTCTTGGGCCGAAATAACCTTATCCCGGGCGAAGTTGGACAAAAATCACGTCACCACCGCCCAGTCCAGCGCCAAGCGCTGTCCCTGGCGCTGTTAATTGAAGCACATTGTTTCTGGCGCCACAGGTGGCGCGAGGCGCTGGCTGTGGCTCTGGAAATTCCATTTTTTGCTTTTTCGTCCGTTTCGGCTCTAATCTCGTACATTTCGTCCCCAATTGCTCCCGGATCATTCCTACACATAAAAATACTTCAAATTAATATAAATCAATACATTTTACATCCTAAATCCACGAAACAAAAGTAAAACATGAGGTGATATACATATAAATATATATACTTTAAGCTAAATATCATATCCCAGAGGTAAATCCATGCATAAACGATGAGCGTTCAATTTTAGCCAAGGATCCAACTAAAGTATGAAATACTTTGTCTGGAGAATGTAGTGGCATGACTGGAACTCAAAGAAATTTGGTGGTGAGCATGTGATTTAACTCGATAAAACTCACGATACCTCAGCTTGTATGTCTATAAACCCGTTATACTCTAACTAATTAATAATAAAGTTGAATAACATGCATGTGAATATATCTTGTATAATACTCAGAGCGTCTTTTGTGTTCATAGCTATAGTTGCAGATAAATGTATGTCGAGCTATGCTGGCCTTAATCCATATATTTATGGAACTTACAGAAATTAGGAAAATATATAAGTACAAAGGAGTCAAAGCATAACAATTTCACTAATAGTATTATCTTTTGACAACTTTTTAAGTAATCAAATTCATTTCATCATTCAGATTTTAGATTTCGATGCCAGTCATATTTTATTTATTATACAAACTTTTCAACTATTATTCTGATACTGCTTCTCCAACATCAGCCAGCCTAATTAAGGTCAGCTAAATAGCGTCAAATAAACACTAAATTGTCCTAATCCACCATCCATCTAAACGACGGCCCGTTGAATTACAACGGATCATAAAGAGAAATGTATAAGAATGGAAGAGAAGAAAGACAATAGCATTACTGGCGATCTGTTTTTGAGAAAGAAAAAAAATATTGTGTACACTAATTCATTAAAAGTAAGTTGTTTCACCTTTTTATCAAGATTCTCAGGCTGACTGCCACGAATAGCGAATAAGAATAAAGAGACAACTGGAATATGGTTTCCGTCGTTTATCTTTCTCATTTGCAAAAAGAAATATACTCCTGTTTTTCCCATTTAATAAAACTAAACAATATTTCTTCATACCTTCAATTAAAGGGTCAAGGTTTAATTAATAATTGTAAATGGAATTCTTTTCTCCTGCACTCACGTGGTCTGCGTAGTGATTAAGATCTTTTTACTTCACATTTTCTTTCTCCAACGATTCAAAATAATAAAAAATTAATTGTATCCCATGTTATTTCAAGTTTGCTTCGACTCGTATCAATTACTAACAATATTATCTTTTCAAATTTTAATTCATTATTTTAAATTATTATTATTATTATCAAATTCGATAATCTATTCAAATTTTTATTCTAGAAAAAACAACGTCCAATTAAGTTTCTTTAATTGAAAAGGGGAATTAAGAGAAGAAGAAAAAGTGAAAACAAAGAAAATATGGTAATTAACATCATTATATCATATATTCATTTGTCAGTTTTTCCTATTCCAGACGTCCTAAAATGTTGTCGCACTTCTAAAATATGATCTTTGTTCCGAGATGACCCGAAAAGCATACATGTGCGGACACTATTCGAAGCACAATCTTCCACCTTTCTCATTTGTGCCAAAAAAATGTTGTAAAGAACCGATATATTGATAATTAAACCTTTCAAAACAGGAACATCGTGAATGGTCAATAATCTCTAAGCAATAAAATTGGTGCACAGAAACTAATTCGAGGTTTCATTATAGAATAGGATGAGTACACGTATTAAATAAGAAAAATTTAGTAATATCAGCAATGGTGTAGCTAGAACTAAGCATGTGATTCTTCAATAGTACTTGAGCCACTTTATTCCACTACCTAAAGGCAAAAGAAAACTATTCCTACTATCCTTTTAGAAGCATATGAGATGTCCTCCGATCCGAATCCACATTCTTTGTGTATGGCAATTTGACACACCATCTTTATTTTCCCATCATTTCTCTTTGGTCCTCTCTATCTCTAATTGGCCTTAATTTCTTCTTGCAGCCTGCACATTGTCTAAACCTGAAACGTCTATATATTTTATTTGGATAAAACAATGAAGTAAACAAACACAGATGTTACACAACAGTTAATTCTGAAATTTGGCTACGAACAAAGTCCCACTCAAACTCCAATAAGAAAAACACGTTACATAAAACATAAAGATTTTCCTAGAGACGTTAAAACATTTTAAGGAAAAATTGTGCTGATTTAGCTAAAACTAACAATATGACACCATATTAAATAGTGCTTTAGGCTAAATTAGACCTGTAATTTTAAGGTCTATAGGATAAGTGAAAGGCATGCAACGGCAAGAATGAGACAAGTAACGAAGGGATGATTCTTGAATTGAACGGATTTGCTAGAATTAGCTGAAGGTGGTGTGAAATACGGGTAGATGGAAGGATTATTATAAGGCGGTGTTAGAGGCTGCAGAGAGCAGTCTCCCGGGCAAGAACGGGGTGGTAAGGGAGGCGGTGGACAATTATTGACTGGTGAGGGTGGGGGAGGAGAAGGCGGAGGTGGCGGTGGTAGTTCTGGAGGCGGTGGTGACGGTGGAGGAGGGCATGGAAGTGGAGGTGACGGTGGTGGTGGAGACAAAATGGGCTGACATGGGTTTTCACATTCGGCGCACATATTGCAAGCTATTTGGTCTTTGGCCATTGCTGTGATAGTTGACATAGCTTGAATAATTTGGACATTGAGTGAAAGGAGAAGAAGCAAATTGAAGCTGCACAAAATGAATCGAGAATTTGGAGGATCCCCCATTTGCGAGAAGGCACTTATCGAAATGTAGAAATACAATAAGTTGGTGGAGAAGTGGGTATATATGAAGACAATGGTTGTGGCCTTGGGGGTTAAGTTGATACGATGGACCAGTGCATGACCAATAAGGCTTGTGGTAAAGTAATAAGTACTTTTTTATTCTTAAACAAATATTTTAAATTCGAATTTTGAGGATGAAATTGCTTTTGTTAAGAAACGTTTTATCTCTCGTAAGATTTTTTAGCGTGAATTCTGATTTAGTCGTATCTCAATACAAGTACCAAACACCGAATGAGAAGAAAAAAAGACTAGAATCCTAGTGTTTTATCTTCTACGCTACCAATATTTGTGTGACAAATAACAATGCCCATTGCAATTTTAATATTTGGAAAGGTGTCTGGGTGGCTTGAACTGTTATTTGCATATTTAACAAGTAATTAAGCAGCAGGTACGTAGAGGCTTTAATTTCTCTGAAAATTCCAGTAGGCACGGCGCTCTCGGGGCATCCAGTTTGTAAATCACCGTCATGTTAAGAATTCGAGCCTTCATGACTTTTTTACCACGTAAAGTTCAATTGGACGTTCCTTTCTTTCCTACTATGTAAAAACACACACACACAAAAAAAAAAAAGAGTTTCACTTTATACACTGATAGTGTAATTTATTATTACTAGATTGTCTATAAGATTATTATATTTAAGATTACCAATATAAAAACAAATATAGTTTAAAAGAGAAATGAACAAGCATCTTAACTATCTTCTACAACTTGTTAACCTTTTTTTTCCAACTCCGGATTGACGATATGAAGATGTTATATATTTTTGTTGCTTTATCACTCTTGTGGTACCTAATATGTAATGCGTAAATTGATTAACATAGATTTGATCGAACTATGTAGCTTTTAAACAAAGACGTATCTGTGTTTATCCTTTATATTATACTACGACGCATACAAGCTGATAACCTTTGTATATTTTCTTAGATTGACCCACACTTTCTCTCGATGCGTTTATTTTTAATTCCGGTACCATGAATAACCTGCCAATTAATAATTGTTTTTCTGGATGCTAGTGTTGTTTCTGTTTCTTTTGCTTTTGCAGTTTTCAGTAATCCATTCTTTTTACAAACTTGATGGAGAGAGAGTTAAAATTCAACTCAAAAGTATATGTTGTCAAAGTTTTGACATTTAAAAGCTGTTCAGATTATGAATTGATGTTTAAACTTGTGCGATAAAGGTTGGGATTGTAACCTTTTAGTACAGAATTTGTTCTTGGAAACCCCTTTCTTCTATCGCTTTTATCATCTCAAAATATGCTTAGTATACAGGTTGGCATGAAAGTTGACCGATTGGATTCTCTACATTTATTGCAAGCTTGGGAGTGTGGGTGAGAAACTTCAAAGAACCCAAAAAAAAAAATATATATTACGTAAAATGATACTAACAATTAAGATGTGAGAATTGAAAGGATTTCATGGTTGATGTCGGCAGGGAACATGCACAAAAAAGGGCAGATTTGTTGATCCAAATGAAAAATGGAACGAGAGGTGTTTGATTTATGAATATGGAAAACCAGATCGAATAGAAAAATACTTGTGTATGTAGTTTTTCTAAGAGTAAATTTCACTTTAACTCCTTAACCTTTAACCATTGGAAAACAATACCCTTTTACATTTAAATGGGAATGATAACCTTTTTGAACAATATTTTCCGGCGAGCATTAAATTTTCATACTAAAATAAAAAATAAAAAAAAGTTTTTAACATTCATAGATCACAAGATGTATATTACAGAGATTAAAAAGACTAATACTTACATTGAATTTACGTATAACATTGGTCTCGAGTAAAGATCCCGAGAAGGTGCAAAAAATAATGGTCATCGTCATATTAAGCACGTGAACTCTAATAATCATATAGTTCTCTGGTTATAGAAAAGTTAATTCGTATGACCGAGTCAAAACTTTAAAATCTATCAAAAATATTGTTCAAAGGGGTTATTGTTGTAAAAATTGCACGGGCGTCCTATTTGATCGTCTCCATTTGACCTATACCCATATTTTTAAAATTATTTAACCTATACCCTAATTTTTACAACATCAGGCTCCTCCTTCTCCCGGTTACCTGTGCGCACCTTTCTTCTTCCTTTCTTTGTTAGTCTCTTAGAACATCTTGTTTTTAATAATGTGATACTTCACTTCATCATTTGTATTTTTCTAGATGCTTACATCACAATGCTTGGGGTGAACTGCTTTTCTCTGTGCTTTTCACGTTTATTGTTTCCAAAATTTATGATTTAGATACTGTTGGCAATATGATTATTTTATAGTAGTAATACACTATGAAAGAATAAGGTAATTATTTATCTAGTATGTTAGAAAGCTTTTTCAAAAACTTCAGCTTATATAGTGCTTAAGTTTATAGAAATGAACTAAATAACTTTAGCATCTTCTGCTGAAGTTTTTGAAAAAGCTTTTATGACAAAACTAATGAATCCAAGACAAAAAAACTTCAGCTTATTTAGTGCTGAAGTTTTTACAAATGAACTAAATAATTTCAGCATCTTCTGCTGAAGTTTTTGAAAAAGCTTTACGACAAAATTAATGAATCCAGGACAAAAGCTTCAGCTTATTTAGTGCTGAAATTTTTACAAATGAACTAAATAACTTCAGCATCTTCTGCTGAAGTTTTTGAAAAAGCTTTACGACAAAACTAATGAATCCAGGACAAAAAACTTCAGCTTATTTAGTGCTGAAGTTTTTACAAATGAACTAATTAACTTCAGCATCTTCTGCTGAAGTTTTTGAAAAAGCTTTAAGAAAAAACTAATGAATCCAGGACAAAAAAACTTCAGCTTATTTATAGCCCGTTGATGATAGGCTATAATTGTGTATTTTAGTCGATTATTACACTCAAATTTACTGCACTTTGATTGAGTTTGAGCTTTAATCGCTAGTGTCTTGCACTAAATGTGTGTTTTATGCCTTGTAGGAGTGATTCCGAGCTATGTAGATGTTATGGAATGAATTCAAGTAATTTGGAGCTTTGAAGTCTGAGTAAAAGCTCAAGGAATTAAGCCGGGATTGTGTCAGGGGTCAACTTTGATAGTTAAGAACAAACGAATACTCGAGTAGGCATATTGCGCACTGTCTAGCAAAATACACATAACGTTTTTCTCAGAACTCCATTTGGGCTGCACAATATATGGTTAGAAAGCTAACTCAAAGGGCTACAACTTTCATGTTTTACATTTTTTCAAATTCCAAACGGAACGGGGCGAAACGCGCAAGATTTGAGCCAAAACGAACGAAACCGGGAAAAAAGGGCCAGTTGGGCGCCACAGGCAGCGCCTGGCGCCACCTGTGGCGCCTAAAACAGTATGCACAAATATTTGGGCGCTATGGAGGGCGCCTGGCGCCGGGCTGGGCGCAGGTGACGTGAAATGTGTCCTATTTCGCCCGGGAATGGGTTATTTCGGCCCTAGACCTACCCAACACATATAAAAGTAAGACTAAACCTATTTTTGAAGGGGAGGACGCCACTTTAGAGATATCTAACACACTTTGAAGGAGAATTCACGTGGGGGAACACACACCACGCTTGGAGGAGGCTTCTAAATAGTTTTTCTTCTCTTCTCTTCCTTTAATTTCATAGTTTCTTTGTTCTAGAGTTTTGGGTGCTACATGAACGTTGTAGTTTGAAGCTTGAATTGTTCTTATTATTTTATCATATTGGTTTATTTATTCAATCTTGCGCTTAATTATTTGATTGCTTGATCACCAATTGAATACTATCTACGAATCTAGGATTGAACTCGGGAGAGGGAATTCTAGATTGCATATAAGATTGAGTAGAGCAAGATCTTAACTCTTAGGGGGAGCGGATTTGCGGTTAGGATAGGAATATACCTAATCGCCTTGCTTGGTCATTATACGGGAATTATAAATGCGTTCTTGTTAATCCTAATTTCATAGGAATATAGGCGTTAGGTTAGCTTGAATAGGCGAGTTGTACTTCGGGAGAAGGCTACGAGCAATATTAACCCTGTCAACCAATAAACCAGATAAATTAATTAGATGATTTAAGTGGAAAACTCAACGGGATTGTTAGCTAACCCATAGCTCTAGAATATTCACTTACATTGAATTCGTCTCTATAATTCACCAACTTGTTTTCTTTAATCTCTTAGTTTACTACTCTAGATTAATTTTAGTTAAATATTCATACGTTAGGATTCGCTTGAATAGATTAATTGTTTGGTTTAATTTAGTTGATAGTTAATCACAAGTCCTTGTGGGTACGATATCTGGACTTACAATCCTATATTACTTGTCGACCACGTATACTTGTGTGTGCGTTTGGGAGCAACAAGTTTTTGGCGCCGTTGCCGGGGACTTAGAAATTAACTATTCTACTAGATTAGATTTTTACTTTTTGCCTATTCAAGTTTCTTTTTTTTTTTAATCTTAGTTTAATATTTTATTATCTTTGTTGACATGGCATCTTGGAATGAGAATTGGTCAAATATTGGTTATTCTTATTATAGTGATCCTTGTCCATATTGTGGAGGACCACACTTGTGGCAAAATTGTGCATCTCAATTTGATGTGTGGAATTTTTGTAATATGCGTGGTGGTCAAGGTGGCCATTGGGATGGTTGTCCTAATTCTTATTATCCTCCTCAGAGTTCTTATTATAATATTTCTAATAATGTTTATGAGTTTGATATGAGCAAGGAAGTGGAGGATATGGAAAGCATGGCTCGTATTATGGACATGATGAGGCAAGTAGTCGAGCAACAAGATGAAATTCGAAAGGATGAACAAAGAACTAGTGCAGCAATCATGAGAATGAAGGCCGAGGCGAAGGAAGTGGCTGAAGAGAGCGAGTTCCCATCAGAAGATAATTTAGAAGAAACATATATAGTGAGCCAACCTTGGCTAGAGGAACAAGCTCAACTGATAAAATCTCATGACTTTCTACGTGATGGTCTTTCAAACATGACAGAACAACTAATAGAAGGAAGAATTGAGCTCAGGCAAGAAATCGACCAATTTGGCAGCTC